GCCACCCTGTGACTCTCCATCATCCCTCACCCCCCACCACTAGGGTCCCCTCCCCACACCAGATTTCACCTGTATAAAAAATGTTATGGGGGCCCCATACAGGCTGATTTGTCCTGGGCCCCACAATCTTCTAGGGACGGCCCTGTGCATATGTGTAGGCTCATGAGGGCATGCAGAGTATGTGTGCGTGTGTGTGTCTGCCTATTCAGCTGTACATATGTTTGTGCATGCATTTATGTATGCTCGCCTACACATCTGTATAGGCACATGCCTCCATGTGCATGTACACCCCTGTGCATGCATGTATATGTGCAGTGCATGCGGGTACTCACACAGGAGCATGCTTTCCCATGTGCAGTCCTGAACAGGGACCATCGTATGTATTTTCTAGCAGCCATAAACTTTAATTCTAACATGGCACCAGTCACGCTGCCCTCCCTCGTGGAACCATTTCACGGGGACAGCCCAAGGGGGGACAGCCATGATATAGAAATACACCCTATCTTATTGCCTACATCTGTTTTTAACACCCAGTAGGGGCCCTGCCTGCAATTCTTACACTAAGGATTGTACCTCCGGGAGGTGACAAATACCCCCTTATATATCAGGCCAGAGAAATGTATCATAGAAGATTAGGGTTGGAGAAACCTCAGAGGTCATCCAGTCCAACCCCCTGCTCAAAGCAGGACCAACCCCAACTAAATCATCCCAGCCAGGGCTTTGTCAAGCCTGACCTTAAAAGCCTCTAAGGATGGAGATTCCACCACCTCCCTAGGTAACCCATTCCAGTGCTTCACCACCCTCCTAGTGAAATAATGTTTCCTAATATCCAACCTAGACCTCCCCCACTGCAACTTGAGACCACTGCTCCTCGTTCTGTCATCTGCCACCCCTGAGAATGACTGATGGCTGGAGGCCTCGTCTCCCCCTACCTCCCCTGACTCCTTCCTGACCGAGCAGGCTGAAAAGATATTAGCAAAATACCAATGAGGGAGAGAGCGAGTGAGCTGTGCAGAGCACCCCGCAGCCTAATTGGTCCCAGGCATTGGGGAGAGCTGGAGGCATGACAGAACGGCTGGCCAGACTCCAGAGATCCTCTTGGTCAGAGACCAGCAGAGGCAGCCTCTGTGAAGGTTTGCTCTTCCAGCCAGCTCTCCTGTGGATGGGGTCACTCATGTTGCCCCGAGGCATGTGAGTGCTGCTGTCCTGAGGGTCAGTGCTGGATGCCCAGCAGAGTCTTTCCATGGCTGTGACAGCCGCAACAGCAGGACTCAAGCTGCCTTTCCGCCCCTGCCCAAACTTTCCTGTCTCCTGGCCCACAAGGAGCTGAGACTTCTCTCTGTGGAAGCTGTTTCCTTTTAAAATGAGTTTAGTGCAAGTGACAATTGCCTGATTGACAGCTCTGTGGAGCCACGTTCTCAGGGTCTCTGCGGAACGGGGGTAGGTTCTTGTGGTTAGCACAATGGCATAGGACTCAGGAGATCAGGATTTGGTTCCCAACTCTGCCACTGATGCCCTTGGCAAAGTCTTGGAGGGCCAGGTTTTCCAAAGAGCTCATCTCCCTATTCTATCTCGGGGGTTCGTTCTGCCCATCCCCATGTGCTCTCAATTCCTTCCATGTACAATCAGTGGCAACAGAAAGGCTCGCATGAACTTCTTGGCATCTCTGTCAACTGCTTGCAGGAAGGATTTTTTAAAAACAAGGGTTAATTTCTCTCTATAGTGGGGTTTATTTAGGCTGCTTCATTTCAGGGTTTACTTTGATTGGGGAATAAGGGGTGTCTTTTAGGTGGGTCGATAAGGGGCAGAGTTTCTAAAGTGCTCAGCAGCCAGAAGCTCCCATTGCAACACCGGTGGCCAGGTTTTCAAGCTGTCAGCACCCCATGGACTCCCAACCTGCTGCGTTCTTTCGAACATCCTTAGCCTCAGTGCTGCAGTTCCCCATCTGTATAATGGGGATAAAACTGTAGTCCCCCTCCCACCTGGGATAATTTCACCAGTGCTCGAGGGGCTAACATACTGTCATGATGGGGGCCAGATCTGTAGCTAGAAAACAATGGGTGCGAACTCTCGCCGCCCCCCACCCACCCACCCACACTGAGCTGCCTGTGTGTCTCTGTCCTAACAGGGAGGGGCAGGAGATGGGTAAGACGGTAGTTCAGTCAGTCTTTGGCTTCTCTGCCAAGACCGCTGACAAGGAAAGCAAATTGTGCTTCCTATGGAGATCTGTGTGCTAGCCACAGACTTGACACTCAACAGCTCCTTTCTGCGGGGAGGTGGCCCTCGGGGCCATCCAAGCCCACCCAGCATGCTGGCGGAGGGTGGGAATTTCTGCAGTACTAAGTGCATTAGGAACACGAGTCCACACTGACCTCTGCTCCAGGGAGAATCCCACCCAGGATCCCTTCCCCTCCCATCTGAATGTGAGCGCTAGAAAAACTTCAGCCAGCTCCAATGGGATCTCTGGGGCAGCTAAAGAGAAAAACACAGGCCAGCCCTGAAACACCCTCTGCTTCCAAAGGGCCCATGCTTGCACTGCATACATTGTAGCGTAGGGCAAGGCACAGGTGACTCACAGCAGGAATCTGAGCTCTGTTCTCATACAGGAAAGGGCTTCTCACCGACCGCACTTATACACAACACCGGAAAGGGACCCTTGTAGCCAGTCTCCCCGTATCGTAAGGTCTTGGTAGCTGGCGTCTTCCCCTCTCTCCCAGTTTCAGGGAGGGTGCAGGCTGGGTTCTGCAGCTTCTCCTCTGTTCTGGGACGAGGGTTTAACGGCCTCCCTCCCAAACACAGGGCAGGTTCTCTGCACCCCATCTGTGGTGGGGCAGCTAGTTATAACCCTCCCAGCAGTCAAGAAAAGGCTAAAGAACTCCTGTGGTCACAATCAGCCCCAACCGGCCGCACCTGTGCGGCTTGTCAGCCCTGGGGCTGGGCCCTCCTGAGACCCAGCCCAGCTCGAGCTCCGGGACCAGGGCCCTGGCTCACATGCTGAGGAGCAGCTTGGGAGCGCCGCCAACCTGAGGGGAGAAGATGGGCCGGTTTGTTTCTTTTGTTGAAAAGCCTTGGCCTTTAGCCATGCGGAGGGTGGGGGGCCAGCGTTTCGTCCGGAGCCGGAGAGACCGCTTCCCTCCTTTGTGTGCGGGAGGGGCCAGGGGCCCTGAAACTACTTTCTTTTTTGTCTGGACTGTTTTATACCCCGGGAAAAGGGTGGACTGTAAGGGGTGCAGCCAGAGGGCCAGGCCACAGGACTGCTGCTGCCCAGGGAACGATCTATGAGGTGAGTAGCTGCCTGCCCTGACCCCAAGGGGGGCGACATCAAGACACAACCGTCGACACCGTCCCATTGCAACCCCCCGAAAGAGCTGCTGAAGCAATCCGTGCCATGAGCCAAGGAAAGGCACACGCCGCCACATGGAAAATACTGACATTTCATTTTTTGGGTATCTTCCCCTTCCAGAACTGTATTGTTACAGCCTTTAGCACACAGGTCTGTTTCACACACACACACGCACGCACGCACGGCTCCACGCTCCTGGTGCAAAGCTCAGGGGCAGTCTGTGGCACTAGCTAACTCTCCTCTTGGTCTCTCCTGAAAGCATTCGCACGCCCAGTGGAAAGTGCTTGCGTGCATCCAATTAGTGCACGTCAGCTCCCCAGCCACGCCACACTGGGCCGCCGTCTCCTCTCACCCTGATTTACCTGTCTGCGTGGGCACATTAGGGCACGGAGGAGGGGGGAAGGAAAGAGAAGACAGCCAGCGACGGGGCTGGCTTTACACATACCACTACAAACACAACGGGGACTTAGAAAGAAGCCACCCCTGGAGGAGTAACAGATACCCCAAAGTTAGCAGCCTCTGTTCGGCTTCCGCAGCAAGAGCTGGAGCTGGTATCTCTGTGGCAAAAGGACAGCAGCCAAGTCTTAAGATGGATGCCATGCCCTGTGACGACTGGACAGAGCACCATCCCTAGCAGAGCGCAGGCTCAGGTGTTCTCTTCCCGGCCACTGTACTCTGAGCAAGTTGTAGGGTGGCACCCAAACACGGTTCAAGTTCTAAGTCCGCGGCGTGTGGATTAACTCACTGCCACCAGCGCAGACTTTGCTAACGGCTGGTTCCTCAGCTAAGACAGGCCCTGGGAGAGTCTCAGGGCTCTGAGCCCTCGGCGAGGGAAGTAGGAGCACACAATTCAGGGGGCCACGTTGTCGTGATGCATCCTATGACCGTCGTGCTTCTCAGAGCCAAGATTTGTAGACTTCAAGGCCAGAAGGGACCACTGTGGTGGCCTAGTCTGAGCTCCTAGACAGGTGCATCTCTACCTAGTTCTTAAGCCTGCTTCAGCGCTCCCTTAGGCTGGTGTAACTCTAAGGCAGTTGCTCATGTCACGTCAGTGTAGGCGAAAGGAGAATGGAGCCCACCAGAGCTGCTCCTGCCTGCTGCTATGTACAGTCTCTTTCTAGGCTAACCCACTCGGAGTGCCCTGGGCTCTGTAAGAAATGAGGCCGCAAGGAAAGGTACAGGATGGGGAAGCCGGGGAGTTGTAATTAGTCAGTACTGAGTGAGCAATGACTTCTCCATTGTTCTCAAGAGCCCCGCTAAGTTCCCATCACTCAGGCCCCCGGGCTTGTGGGGGTTCTAGAAAGACTGTCAAAGGTTTGAGACATCTTCAGGGGATCTTGTCTACCCCTCTCATAGACTGAGCTATGCAGAGCAGAACAGACTGGTTTTCCCCCAGCCCCGTTGTGCCAACATAGGCACTGTGCAGACACTCGGCTCTCAGCGAGGATTGACCCTGTCGCAGTTCACATTCTAGACACAGCTTCCCCCCGCCCCATTTGCTCTCAAAGATGGTCGAGGAGAACTGCTTGTTAGTTGTGGTGTCAGTGATCTGGAACATTTTTGTGCAATGTCTAAAAATCTCTCCTGGGGCCTGAGGTTTATAAAGGAAAGAGGCACAGAAGAGAACGAGAAAATGGAAAGATAACGAGGAAGAGAAGGGGCAGGGAAGGGTGGGAACGATCTTGAATTTCCCACACCCATGGAAACAGGTGGCTCCCAGACACAGAAAGGCCTCATTTCACTGTGAAAATGGTGACCCTTCTTTGGGAAAATGGCCAATTTTCACCTGAAGCAAATTGCCCAGGTTTCTTAGGGGGCTGAACGGGTTCTTGTGACTCTCCAAGTGCTGCCTGCTAGCACACAAATGACAAGATTTCAGCGTCGGCCAAACTCTCACCAAAGAAACAGCCATTCTCCCAGGTGAATCACGGCCAGGCCGACAGGGGTGGGTCTGCCCAGCCTGGCAGTCAGGTTGCGTGAGAAAAAACTCTTTCCACTTGACAAACAGGACAACGGAGCCAGAAGCAGCACTGTTCATTGGCAGAGAATTTTCAGAGTTCAGTGGTGTATGGGACCCAGCTGACAAGATGCCTGGTGCTTTGTGTTACCAGTGACTCCAGTGTGAAGTGAGCGTGGGGTTTTCGGAGTGCACAGCTGCTTGTTTGCAGCCATCATGTGTTCTTCCAGGGTCACCGTCATTTCCATAGCGACGGTGGGGAGGATTAAAGGTTCATGTGGGGAGTAAACAGCAGGAGCAGGTGAGCTCGCAAGGAACAAATGTTCTTTTCCAGGAGGTGTCCTGTAGCTATGAGAGAGCGAGGGGGTGAGTCTAGAGTGCAGCGGACAATGCTTTGCAAATGACCGGAGGCATCAGGGGCTTATTGTACAGAGCAAATCTGATATGACATCAAGGGGCCAGAGTCTTATTTACAAACAGGCTCCCTGACACCACACTGGCAAGAGGAAAGGGGTCTTAAAGGGGGAATAAATTACATTTGTGCCCTCTTTCTGGCCCTTTTGCCCTGCCAGAGCGGTGTAAAGGAGCCTTAGTGTAAGAGGAGATCAGGCCCTGTGATGGCGTATAAACCTCCAGCTTGGTTAACCCAGCCTGAGACCCGTTAGGCCACTGGGTGGCACCTGGAGCAGTGTTAAGTGTAACTGGAGGTGGGCCTTCATAAGGGAAGGAGCACAGCAGAAAGAAAGGCCAGGGAGGAGACCCAGGAGAGAGGTAGACCCAGGACTGTTCTCTCTTGGGCTAAGGGCAGAGAGGAGGCTAGAGCCAGAACTAGAAGGGGCTGGCCCATGAGGAAGCCTGGGGCAATAGGACTATTATCCTGAGCCAGGAGGAAGCAGGAGGCAGTGACAGCAAAATCTAAGGGGGATTTGGACTGAAGCTTGGAAGACTGTGAAGAGGAGCTGCAGAAGGGGACAGGCACCTGTGGCAGACCCAAAGAAGGGGAGATTCCAGGGAGGGAAGCCCTGGGAGGCAGTGCTCTGAAACAAAAGCAAGAGAGAACTTGGCAGGCCGTGGGCTGAACTCTGGCAAGAAGCCAACAGGAAGGAGGGCATGGGACCTGGAAGAGAAGCCGAGTCTGTCAGGGAAAGCCACCAGGGCCATGGACAATCAAAAGGCGAAGGCTACAGGAGATGGTGATTCTCACTGCAGCAGCCCCAAGGAAGGTTCACTATGGAGCTGGGAACCAGAAAGGACCAGCACGGCAGGAGACAAGGGGTCTGGCCAGGGTGAGCCCAGCACAGGGTTCAGGAAAGTACTGGGAGCTCAGCGGGACTAGACAAGCAGCCCCGCTCACAGGAGCAAACTTTCCAGTCACCCTCCATGGGCCCATGTAACCTAGTCATTGGGCACCAGGAGCTCTAGGCACCCCATCTCCTCCCCAGAGGTGTTACTGGACCACATGTTCCATCTGCAGGCAGGTCTGGGATTTCTGAGACAGGGGCATGCAGCTGTCCATCTTCCCCTCTGCTGCTCCCCAAACTCCTGCTGAAGGCGCTCATTGGTCCAGCTCTGGTTGCCACTGCCAGGTGGTTTCCAGGGACAGGGGGTGCGTGGGCAACCCTATGGAGCTGGAACCATCTGCTCCCAGAAAGCCTGAGCAGTGAGCGCACCAGGGAGAGACAAGCTCTGTCCACCTCTCGCTCACTGTGTTACCTTTCCCCATCCTCACTTGGCCCAGCAGACATTCCCCCCTGTTTGCCACCTCGGGCACCACTTCGGGTGGCTGCTACGGGCCATTGGGGCCGTTTCTCCAGCTGGGAACAGCAGGCTTGCTGCTTCTTCTGAAGCTGGTATTGCTTCTTGGCCAGCAGCAGGCATAGTCTTCTGGAAGCCAGTGCCAGCCCTGAGCCTGGGTCACACAGAGCAGCATGTTCCAGCTCCAAGACTCTCAAACTTTCCTTGTGGGGTTGTTCTTGAAGAATACCAGAGAGAGAGACGCCAAGGGGTCGCCTCACCCGCTGCCTGCCAGTGTACACCACAAAGCCACCCGTGGCTGATGCTGGACTCAGCTAGTTGCTGTTTTAAACAGCTCCATCTGAGATGAGCATCCTTCACTTTGTTTCTGGTTAGAGACGGACCTGAGCTGCGAACTTCAGCCCCGGAGCCTGATCCAAACTTCCCCAAAAGCTGAGGTTGTTCAGATGCAGGGCTCCGGTTCAACTTCACCTGGGCAAACCAGTGCGTGAAACAGGCCTCTCCTTCCTGAACGCACCGGAGAGCTCCTTAGCTTTGCTAGCTTGTTCCCCTTGTAATCACAGCTACTGATTGAGATGTGAAGCCAGGGGCAGCCAGGATACCTCACACCACATGTGTCTAGGTTCTGGGGTGTCTCGTAAGCTCCTCCATGTTCAGAGTCAGGCAGGGGGACACACAGGAGGGTTAAAAGCACATTGAAAAGGTTCCAAGAAATGCTGCACTGTCCCCTTAGAGGGAGGCCGTCCCAGGGTTGGAAGTCTGAGGAGCTCCCCTTCTACTGGACAGAGTCCCCATGACAGCAGCTTTGGACCTGTGCAATAAAGGAAGCGCTAAAACGAGGGGTGGAAGAGTCTCTGGTGCCCCTCGCTTGCTTCCTCATCCCAGCAGCCTCCGTCGCCACTTCCCAGAGCACTACGTGGCAATGAGCGGCACCTCACTGGAGGGGATGGGGAAGGTAGAGGAGGAGTCACCATTCAGGACCCTGTACAGCAGCTCTTCCTTCTCCCGGTGCGCCTGCTCCCGCAGCTGGGACTCCTTGTCCAGGGCCTCCCGAACCACCAGGAGCTCGTCAGACAGTTGCCTGCAAAGAAACAGCAGGTGACGAAGCTGAGCCGGTAAGAATTCCGGAGTGAGATGGAGATCAGGGCCCTGCCAGCTGTTCTGATCACTGCCAAAGGAGGCCAGGGCAGTGGGGACATGAAATGGGCTTGAAAAGGGGTGGTGCTGTGCCAGGTCATGGTCTACCTCACACATACACTCTCACCAGAGCGAGATGGGTGCAATGCAAGCCCAAGTTCGTGAATGCACATACACCCCACATATTCACCCGAACCAGATCAGTGCCGTGTAAAGTCACGTACCCACAGGAGGCCTGGCTAGTGCACCTCAGCCCTATCATGCAGCACCCCTACTCTCATAGCTCTTCTCAGCTATCTCCCCCTGATCTGCAGCTTCTGTGCTCGCTTTGATGCCATCATACCTGCTGTTTGTGTCCTGTCCCAGCATCTAGTTATCAGCCTTGCATTCAGAAAACAGCCTCTCTTGAGTGCAATTCATACCTAGCCCAGCGCTCAGCCCCCGTGAGCTCCGACAATGGCAGCAGGTAGGTTGTACTGCACTAGGCTGCACATGTTACCTTGTCATTGTCAAGTGGTTCTGTGTCCGAACGTGCAGATCCTCATTCTCCTGCTGAAGGGTTTTCACTTTCTCCTCCAGAAGCAGGTTCTTCTCCATCTGTGACATCCCAGAAGGGTTGGGGAAGGGAGGATTCAAAGGAGAGGTCAAGGGTCAGAAGTGATATGAATTTGGCAAAAGACGATTCCCTATGCTGGTTCATGAGGTCCTGCCTAAGGGCCAACGTCAGAACATTGATGGTTACTGACAAAAGTTGTCTCTATGCGAGGTTAGTGATGCATAGCAGCAACCTGCTGTGTATGCCAGCAAACACCCAGCACTGTAGCAGCCTGGTCCAATTAGTGCAGCCCTCCATCTGCTGGCTGCCCTCACTGTGTCTGCGTCCTACACGCTAGCTCGGCTGAGAGGCCAGCCAGGACATAGAGCTGCCCACAGGTAGCAGGTGAGCCAGAGGGGAATGCGCCTGGAGAACGCTGTTTGCATTCAGGTAGGTGGCGCGCTCTCCTGTAGGCTGTGCTTTTCCATCTCTGCCCCTGGAAAGGAGTCCATGGACTTTTTGGAAGAAGAACATCAAACCCACCACTGTTTCCAAGTTCAGCAGCTTCTTGTCCAGGTCATGGATGCGTTCGTTCTTCATCTCTATGACAAAATGCAGACTCTCCAGTTCTTGCTCCCAGAACTGGCTGGGGCTCCCATAATCCTAGAAGGGGAGAAAGAAAATGCATGAGTCCCCCACTGACTGGAGAGGTTGGGGGGGGGGGGAGGCTAATGCATGGTTCTGGTTTGGTTCTTCATTCCAACGGAGGTGAGCCAAAGATGATGACCGTTAGTAGGCATGTGTTCTCAGTCCTGGATTGATAGGATTCTTGCCCCCCAAAATGTGCTTACTAGTGTTCATTCAGTGCCTACATGCATGTCTTTACGGCATTTGCATTAGCCACCTGAGTGCAAGGAGCTTGAACTACCTTCATAATGCACAGAATATGTACCCTTAATTTCCTTATGATCTACTTCCTATCCCTTTGCTTACTTCAACCGTACTACAGGTTTACCAGGCACCATGAACACTACCCTCTCCAGATCCAGTGATGGGGAGTTTTCCAGGGAGGCCTCTCTTTGGCTTTTATTTTGGTGACAAAGCATTTATAGCATACAGATGCTTCTATGACTCTGTAAGTTTGAGCTGTCCATTGCCACTACTGTGAATCTAACAGGCTTGCTCGGAGACCCTGGCAAATGATGGGTTAAAGAAATATCCTCCCAGGAGGCCACAGTTCGCTTATTTCCTGCACCTGAATATGTTTCTTATAGTCTCTGCTCAAGATCGATTCCTCCACCCGTTTCATTTTCTCCTGGAAGGATTTCAGCTGGGAATTCAACCTGTCAATCATCTCCTAGGGCAGAAGAGAAAGGAAGAGGGATGTGATTATGAGTCCTGTTTTATGACCTCCCCTCCAGCAGGGGCACTGTTCATATAAGGAAAGAAAATGACCTACTGCATTGTACGGAGGTGGCAGGAGTCAAATGGCAAGACATTTCACAATGACTAACGAAGCCCCATGCAGCAATTCCCTAATACAGTATTTAATGGCAGCAGGGAGCAGTTCCCACTGTAATGCCTTCTGCCATCCTGGCTTCCTTGGTTACAATGGGTCAATCGGTAACCATGGGAGAGATCTCTTTATAATCAGCACTTCCTGGGTTGCTCGTATACGAACAGACTCCCTGACTCTGCCACTTCTGCTATGAGCCACAGTAAGGCAGTTAGGCAGCTTGTTCGCACCCGTTTCACGTCTGGAGTGTTCAGGCTACAGGCTTGCCTGCCAGCAGAGATGTGCCCCAACCAAAACCTGAGCTCTGAGCGCCATTAACAACATGGAGCCATTCCAAACGCAAGCCACCTGTCCCCTGTGTCAGTAGTGGTGTGATGGGGTGTCTGCCCCACACTGGCATGCAAGGGGTTAATAAGCTCTCGGGAGGCTACGCAGGAAGCAGCCAATAGGAGAGGGACTGTGAGCAGGGTCCCTGACTCCCTGCAACTCAAGGAGGGAGGACTGGGTGCCTTGCAGGTGGAGGGAAGCTAGCACCCTGGAGAGAGCAGGGCAGGAACAGGGGAGCACCCGGCTGGCTGCTAGGACTGGCACGTGGAGGCGAGGGCGAAGAAGGTGCTGGGGCTGCAGGGAACTCTGCACTTTTTTGATTGAGCCAGTGAAGGACTGTTTTATACTTTGGAACTGAAAGCCCAGGTGGCCATTTCGATTTAAATATCTCTTTGACTGCTGCAAAATTAAGGCACGCTCACTTTGTGAGAGGCTCCTCTGGGCTCAGGTGAGCCAGTAATTCCCACAAACAGCCAGCCTGGATTACCCAAGGGTGGTGGACTCCGGGCAGCTCGAACAACCTTTGCTTTCTCAATTTGGCTCTCATGAAAAGTAAGGGGCAGCCAGTGCTGTTTTGCCCCAGGGGTAGTTCAGGCAGGTCCCTTGGAAGCTTCCCCCAGTGCCCTCAGACCTGTGCACTGAATCTGGAGAGCTCTGCTCCACAGGGAATTTCTCAGCAAGCCAAAGCAAGGGGACCAGCACCTGTAAGGAAGACTGGGACCTTTGGTAGGATTCCCTTAAGAGCATCATCTCCTGGTCATGGACCCTCTGGAGTTCTGCAAGGGAAACATAAAATCAGTGTCAAAAGCAGGAGACAGTGTCAAAAGACAGGAAAGCAAGCCCTGCCCAAGCCCCTTACCTGCACAGAATGGCAGTAGATGGCCCTGCCACAGGGGGGACCAGAGTTACTCTGGGCTAAGAGTCAGCAGAGGCTTGGGACTGTAAACAGAGGAAATGCAGTTTCTTGGAGCAGCCTTGCAGCTGGGAGCTCCCTGGAGGACTCGCTCAGCTAAAGCCGCAGGGCTACTAGCTGAGTGATTGCCACACTAAGGAGAGAGGCAGTATGCCAGCCGTAGCGAAAGGAGAAAGAGAGGGAATGACCCCATCACCATTCCCAGCCTTACTGCTGAGACTGGGTGAGCAGATCTCGCGTTGTTGGCTGCAGTGTAAACGCTACCAGCCCACAAGCTCCCTGGGACGCCTCCTGCTCCGATGGAAGGGGTCTCCTTTTTGAAGCATTTTAGGTTTATTTCAGAGGCACTGGCATTGCAAGTGTAATACCTCAGTGGGGTCAATTTTCCAAACGTTGGGCTGGGTTTCCACAAACGCTCCATGCTAGCTAATGAACTACAGAGTAATATCTCCTGCCAGCATTTCTCCATGCCCTTCCTAGGGTCCCCTCCCTCTTGGCTTGAAGAGGTGCAGGCCACAGGACAGTAAGCGAGCACCATCGCACCTCTGAGGGCATGACAGGTGACAGTACGGTAATCCAGAGGGCATGGTAGGTGATTGCCAACGGGGCCAGTCAAAACATGGGCAGATCTCTCGGACACATAACATCTAATGACAATGCTGAATATTCATTACAGGAGTGATCAGCCTCTGCTCAAGAGAGCCACGGAGGCTGGAGAGGAGAAGAGATGCAAGAACAGCCCTGTGAGAAGTTTAAACCATAGCAGTGGTGGCGTAGAGGGAAGCCAGCGCCTAGCAAAGGAGAGACTCGGGCCTTACCTCGGAGGTTCTCTTCATGCTCTCTCTTCAGTGTGTCGAACTGCTCTGAGAGCTGCTTTTTAAGCTCTAAATCTCTTTCCTTTTCCACCTAGAAACAAAGTGAACAACAAGCCCTAAGTATCTGGGGAATTCAGAGAAATTGAAGTGTACCTGCCTGTGTAGTCTCCTATTTATCTCCTGGGCGGCAGATCCAGTTTCCTGGTGCTATTTTTATGAATTAATTTAACTTTGGTACTTATGACAATGAGGGGTTAATATCACTGGCAACAATATGTGGGGGGGGGAGGGGGAGAGCATCACACACAGCTCTGCTAGGACAGCTGACCTGCAACACCCTGGACTTTTCCAGGATTTCTTGGACAACTGCCCTTTTTGCTGAGCTCTGTGGTATCAGTAAAAGGGGGACAAGGAGGAGTGAACCACTGAGCTCAGTTTCACTCACAGCTAAGGCTATGATTTTGGCACGTAAATTTCACAACTGAGTGCCGGGGGGGGGGAAAAAACAAGTCAGAGAAGGGGGAGAAGTTGGAGAGCGAGCTCACCTTGCAGCAGGTGGGACTAGGCACAGCCTCCTGCTCTGGGCATTCCGAGCTGGGGAATGGGTCACAGCCCCTCTCAGGTTGGGTCTGTCTATCCCGCCATAGGTGGGGCTGGAGGGGCCAAACCTGAATAATGCCGTGACCCCAGTGCACCAGGTCAAATGTGTTTTTACAGCCATTTCTGAGATTTCATGGACTTTATTCAAATTCACGATTTCCGTGACCTTCATGACAAAACTGTAGCCTTACTCATGGTGTCTAGAGGTGAAATCTGAGGATACTAACCAACCATACGGAGTCTGCTAACCCTGGGGAAGGCAGACAGGTGTCTATAACTGGGGGAGCAGGCCAGCTGGCTCTGAATGCGAGATCAGGGCTGAAAGGGGAATGTCAAAGCCTGCTAGCTGACCACCAAAGGATCTCATGCTGTCTGGTGTCTTTGGAGACCATCAGGTCATCAAGGTCCTGCTGTATACTACTGCCTAGCTCTGAACCAATGATAGTGGTGCAGTTCGAATGTCAGTAAGCAGAAGCATGAATGCCCAGAACTGAGGTGACTGTGCTGGGACACTACACAGACACTCCTGGGGTGGGGAAGCCACTTTGACCCAACCTGGATTTTAATGTCTTGGGTCAGTCTCTGGGTCTCTGCCTGGTGGGCTTCCTTCAGCCTCTCCGTTTCCTCCTGATGTCCTTGCAGGAGCCTCGCAATCTCACTCTTCTGATCCTCCAGCAGCAGCGCCTTCTTTGTCTCCACATCCTCGTGCAAGGGAGCTGCGGTGACTGCAAATTAAACATAAATGGCTAGACCATGGCCAGCTGGTTTTGCTGACAGGATTAGAATTTCTGGGACTGTTCTCCACTCGGTCATGTTAGGGGGCTTATTCCTTCACCCACTTACTTCCCTGGTCCTTCTCGCATGAACAGAGAGCAACAATACCCGAAGTCCAAAGGTGCAAACAATTCGATTTTTATTGGGGTGAACTTCCAGCAAGCATGATTCCAGTTTCCTTCCTTAGTGTCCCCCTTCCCAGCTCTGACACCACAGAGCCTTACACCTGTGTCCCTGTTCCCATTTCCCCCTTTAGCAAAACATGATTCCAATGTCCCCACCCCCATTCCCTGTTTCCATTTCCCCCCCCCCGACACACCCCCACCCACTTCCTGACTGACTGCAGACTATGTAGTAAAACTTGAGTTCTGCTTAGCTATACCTTAACCAATCATTTTACTGAAATTTAACTAACCAATCCTAACATATTGTAACATGATTATTTAACCAATTATATCCCACCACCTTAATTAGTTTACACCCAGCAAAATTAATTATACAGCAAACAGAAACAATCACAGAACCAGACAGAGATTATACAGACAAACAATGGCAAAGTGGGAACTATAATGACAAAACAATACAGAAGTGAGGATTTCACATCCCAGCTATTGATAAGTGAGTTCTTGCCAGACAGGATGTTATCAAACTAAGTTTCCTTTTACATCTTCTAGGCACTTCCCTTTCTCTGGAGGCAATAGGCATTCTCAGGACAGGACTGTATTCCTAACAGCCCAATAGCACCTTATTTCAATGTGACTAGTTTGGGATATGAGGAGGTGACCCGTCGCTTCCCAGCTTATGGCTGCCTCTGTTGCTTAGCCAAAGGCCTTAGCCTAAGAACAGGGCCTCAGACTGTCACAGTAAGAGAAGGCCCTTACACTGGCAGACAGTGATTTTGATTCTTCCTTTTATACCTCTAACTAGCCAAGTGATAAGAATGCACCTAAATTCTTAGAGTATAGGCCTTTACAGATAGGCCTGAATATCTATAACCTAACAGGTCACCAGTTTGAATTGAGGCCTGGTCAACTCATTATCACTTGGGGGTGATTTGGTGGCCCACATAAAATATGATCTCAGTCTAGTTCCTATTGGACAATTACCCACACTACCCCTGGCACTAATTAGCACCAATGGGCAACGTGTTGGCAGTCTCCGCAATGGGGACAAGTTTTGAATAGAGACAGGAGACAACCTTGGCCTCTCAGTCCTGGGGATGACCCTTCCAGCTCAGTTATTTCTCCCTGCACTGTCTCATTTAGGTCTTTGTTTCCTGTCAATCGTTCCCAGTTTCTGCGAGTGCATTCATTGCTCAACGACTGGTTTGAGCGAATCATTTCCAGCCACCGGGTGCTTTGCAAACAGTCTGCTACAGCTGACTGCTGGTCACAATTTGGTGTGTGGGAGTGGCCACATGGTATCGTATCCACTTCCTGATTGGGTGACTGAAGCTATTTAAACGGGACTTTGACGAATGACAAACACTGCCTGCTGAATAACTCAGCTGGTAGAGAGCACTTATCTCTGAGCTTGTCTGTAGTTCTCTGCCTGAACCAGCCCTTCACATAAGGGCTAGAGTGTGTCAACTCTGAACAGAGCAACAAGACACATACCCATAAGGTAATTCATCTCACTAGCATTCAGACACCATCCTCTCCAGCTCCATGCAATGTCCTCCTCACTACTGCACTGACTGCTTCCTTAGGGGTGGGATTGTTCGTCTGGTGGGACGTTTTGGTCAGCTAGTGCAGTTTTTGAGCTGGCCATCTGTGGTGTTCGCCTGGTCATACATATTACTAGACTTCAGTCATCGATTTCTCTGTCCATGAATAAACACTAAGGCAGCTTCCTAGAATTCTACCTACCCACTTCCCTTGGGCAAGGAGCTTTGTTTTTTTACTTGCTTCCCTTATGAATTCATGACATTTTTAGAATTTGCTCAGATTTTCACGAGCAGTGTTGTCACCCAGGCATTCGAGAGTGACTAATAGGGTCAGTCCATGAACAGCAGCATGTGGAATTTGCTGTTCATCTTGGAAACTGCTTGTGAATCTCTGATTCTCATTCCTGGGCAGCACAGGGAAAACTTACACTGATGCCCTGCCAATACCGAGCCTGCTCCGTGGGTAGAGGGGCTTCTGTGATGGCAGCATTACACTCTTCGTCAGCATGAGTTGGACTTTTAGCATTAGATCCCCAGCTGATGCAAATCAGCATCACTGACAGGCTAATTTATGCCAGATGAGGATACAGATCTTTATTTCTAGCCTGGCTCTGCATTGTGCGGTTTGTCTCATACAAGTTTGCAATATTTCCACTAGAACAAGGATGCATTTCCAGGAACGTATGCCAAATACTCTGTCAATTTCTAAGGAACCATCCGTGATGAAGTGGGAATCTTCTGTAATATTTTATGATTCCCCTGCATGCCTCAGTTTCTCTGTACTCTGCACTGCTCCCCAGGGGGTGCAAAAGGGTTAAATCTGCTCATGGGGCAGAGAAAGAGACATGAGCTGTTGTGTCAGGTATCTGTTTGGGGTGAAATAAATGGGTCTGTCAAGTACTGGCTGAAACCGACCCATATAAATGGAGGGTCCACAAAGACAACGGAAGCCCCAAGCACTGAGCAGCTGACATTTATACATGGGAATCTCCTGCAGGTGGAGCCGTGTGAACACAGCACGTGTCTGCAGGAGGTAGACACTGGATCGAAAGGTTTCAGGTGGCTGGGATAAGAGCTGGCTTTTGGAGGGTCTCGGCAGCTCTCACCTGGGCGTGTCACAGGGACATGGAAAGCCAGAGCCAGAAACGGACACTAGAGGGAAGGCTGGTGTGGCCAGAAGAGATGGTGTTTTAACCTTTATTCCTCTATGCTAATCTCAGGCCTTCCCAGTGCTGGGTTCCATCTGCCTCTGTTCTGAAAAGGCTGCCTGGTGTCTCTGCCAACACTTGCTGAGGTGCCCTGGTCCCTGAAGTGTGTCCAAGACTCTGACCAGCGGTCTAGCTCAGTGGGATACGTTGGGCAGAGCTCACGGTGTGACTCAGGAGTGTTGAAGCCCAGAGGCTCAGTTTTGGAGGCACTGCGTGGCCTACCTTAAGGAAGAGTGGGACCCCTTTCAGGTCTGCCACACAGAAGGGGACCCTCCAAGGGGCTGTTTAAAAGCTGGCGTGTAGCACCAATCCTGTGGCTCTGTGACACCATCTCAGATGGGACTCATGCCAAGACCCCCAGGGAAATTGGAGTGAGAGAATCCACACTGATTTAACTCAAGTCAGTAAAGCCCTTTTAGCCCAGTGATCCTCATACACATCGCCTCCCCATCCGGAGGAGCCTTCTGAACAGACACAGGTGAGATGACCTGGGCATGGACCAGAATAGAAGGCTCACTAGTCACAGTGCCACTTTGGCCGCATCAGAGTTTACAGTGCTGCAGAAGGTACCGGGTGCATCTGTGCGTGGAACACACTGGCCCATCTGTTTGGACCCTGTCTTAGCTTAATGCTTTTAAAGGGGTAAGGGCATTGAAAAGCCCTGTGAGGGAAAAGATTTACACCTCACCATGATTCTCTGTCTTCAAGGCCGTCAGCTCCCGGGAAACCTGCCCCTTTGGCTGCTGAGCTCTTAGTCGTTTCTGTGGGGAAAATAAGAAGACTGGAGTCATGAAATGCAGGGAGGAAAATGTACTTGCTGAGGTGCATTGGTCCCTGAAGTGTGTCCAAGACTCTGACCAGTGGTCTATCTCAGTGGGACTCGCTGGGCAGAGCTCACGGTGTGACTCAGGAGTGCTGAAGCCCAGAGGCTCAGTTTTGAAGGCACTGCATGGCCTGCCTTAAGGAAGAGTGGGACCCCTTGGGAAAATGTAAAACCACGCGGGTTTGTGGCAGAGCTGAGACCCGAAGGGAATCGTGTCATGGATGATACACCCTGAAATTAGTCCCCCTAAGAGAAGGACATTTTTAAATGGGTCCCTATGAGGTGGAGTTATTTAGCAGGCCCTCTAAATGAAAGAGCTGCCGCAACATTAAGAACCCAGCAGCTCCGCTAGGTCCCGTCCAATCCAGAGCACTGCTGAAATGTACTCAGCACCTTGTATTTATCCAGGAATAGTTCAACCTGCAGCCCCAGCCAGCGACCCCAAGCCTCTGTCACACTCTATCCTGTTTAGCCAGCTCTGAATCTGTGCCAGTTCTCCTCCTAGGGAGCTCAGTATCTCTGCTATCTCCACCTTTGGCCTCCGATTTTAGGCTGTTCCATCTCCACTTAGCCCACTCTGCCCTTCTGCCATCTCTCTCTCCTTTGGGTATGATGGAAAGTGACACGTTGGCTGGCCTTATTGCTAACATGGTACAGCACACAAGGGGGGAACGTGTGACCTGGGAGCTCCCATGCAGAGGGGCCCTGCCCCCATTATAGTGGAGATATCCTGTGGCATGTAAAGGGCCATTCTGGTGAGAAATCCCAGCACAGGGAGGCGAGACCGGGTCACATGTGCCCACTCATTTTCTCTCCCTCCTCACTCCTGGTTACTCACGTTCCCACTTGGCCCTGGATTTCTGTTTGCAGAAGTGCTCCGTAGAGAAGGCATGTACCAGCGAAGGGAGGAGACACCCACACCCCTCCTTTCACACTCCCTGCCGCACACAAATACACCCCCCCTCCCCACACACACAAACACACACTCTTCCTGTGCAGCCGCCCAGCCACACGGATAGGCTAGAAGATTTACTGCCCTTCCACCTTTTTTGTGGGGGGCCCTGTCAGTCTCACCAGCAGGCTTTTCTGCTTACCAGGACCCTCCTGGCTCGAGGTCCAAATCTCCACTTTTCCTTAGTATCATTATCAGCTCCACACTCCCTTAAAGGGCGTCTGGGATGGGAGCACTGGACAATGTGATGGACACGTACAAATCTGTCCAGCAACCAGTCCACGTGAGCTAGAGGGCTGGAAACATTTCCCAGGGCTCTTGCTGTGCCCCTCCCTTAACCCCATCTTCATGCCACTGGTGCATGCCCGGGACCCCGGACAGCTGACTAGCCAGTCAGAGCCCAGGCTCAGACAGTGGGTACAGGTCTTTTAGCAACACCCACAAACTTGTAGCTCAACTGATGCTTTTGACAGCCAGGCTCAGAGCCTAGAAATAGGGCTCTGAGCACGGAGCCTGTGCAGGAATGAAAGATGAAAAACAACACTAAACCAAAGGCAATTACAGGGATGAAGCCCAGTTCTAACAACGCCTCAGAATATCTGGCACCAGCAAAGCTCTCCCTTTCCCTCCAGCTCAAACAATTACATCATCATCAGAGGAATGCTTTGTTATAGCATCAGCTCCTGCACCCAGCCCCGGTTGAGCGAGTGCGAAGGTCCTGTCACAGTTTCCATCCTAGCCTCCCTGTTTAACAAGGTTTATAGAACTCAGATTTAGGAGCTTGCTTAGGAGATACAGTCGCAGCAGGCCATGTTCCAGCCCCGGAGCAGTTTAGTTTAGTTGCATTAATAGCACTGGAAGAAAAAACTAAATTATTTTTAGCGATTGTTCAACTGCCAAAGAGCAGCTCTGCTCCCCCCCAACCCCCCTGCCTCAAAGCCCTGTGCGGATCTGACTGGTGTCCATCAGGAACGGCCCCACTGACACCAGCGGCGTTTACACCCGTGTGGAGTGGAATGAAGAGAACTGACCTCCGTGCTCTGGAGCGGCCTTCACTAGAAACGCTGCAGCTCCGGACAACGGGAGAATTCTTCCACTGACCTGGCACGGTCTACACCCGGGGTTAGGCGGGCTTACCCATGTCACGCAAAGGTGCAGATTTTCACCCCCTGCCGTGATGAAGCAGGGTCAGCCTAACTCTGTCGCGTCAAGGAACGTGAAGGAATCCAGCTGGTGCCACTTACGCTTTCTTCCACCGGCTCTGCCGCTCTCAGCCTCAGTCAGACTCCTGAAAATTCACACCCACTGCCCAACGTGTATCTCACACCTTCGCCGACCACCTCTGAACTGGGCCCACGGAGCCTGGCTGAATGGAGGGCAGCACGCGGGCAAGGGTGTGTAACTTAGTGCACATGCCGAAGGAGGCGCAAGTCACACCAGGGGAGGCCCTGTCCACATTCGGGAAATTCGTCCCAGTGTAACCACACTGATGGAGTTATGCCTTGTTATAGACAGCACCTTAGACTGGCTTGTTGTGCTTTCCTGTCCCAGTCTCTAATAGAGCAGATGAATGTGAGTCCAGCCATCTGGGTTCTGTTCCTGACTGACACCAATTTGCTGTGAGAATTAAGCAAAGCCCTGGGTCAATGTCTCTGCCGCAGCACCCCTCTCTGAAAAGTGGAGATAGGAGATTAGGAACCAAGGGTGGTTTTGTAAAGTGCTTTGGGAGTCCTACTATTGCTTGCAGTGAGGTGGCTGTGCCCAGAGCGCCACTTGTAGAGCAGAACTCCGTTGTGCTAGGAGCTGTACATACAGAGAACAGAAATGTCGCCAGTCCCTGCCCCAGCTGAAAGGCAATCGATACTTGCCTAGTGTTTTTATTATTCTATGTCCCAGAAGCTTCAGACTGACTCCATTTATAGCAAGGGCAATGACAGTTTAAATCAGAAAAGCTGTAAGGAAGTAATCTGTTGTAACAGTGTGTAAATCACCTCTAATTTTTTTAAAATCTGAACCTCGTGTCTAACAAACCAACCACCATCAACCGCCTGCCCTCTTATTTAGAGTGAGAGCAGATCGCCCTATGGGCAGCATCTGCATTAAAATTCTGTAGCTTATCTACACCTCGTGCACGGTGGAGATGCACATCTGGAAATGAAAGATTCCCAGGGAAGTAGCATGTGCAAAATCAGGAATGAAATATTCCCAACCTGGCACACCTGCTGCTATGGGCAGGAAACAGTTCCCAGAACAGGGCAGGTGCAGACATGTGTAATGCGTGCAGATGCAGATCCCCTCCCACCACAACAGAACATTCAGCTCATGGAAGTCTGAAGAGGGCTTATACCATAGATTTTCAAGGCCAGAAAGGACCATGGTGATCTTCTAGTCTGACTTCATAACACAGAGAATTCCACCCAGTGATCCCTGCATTGTAAACTGCCTTCCATCATAAATTTGGCATTCACAGACTCCTCCTTGGATTAGTGGGTAACCCGTGGGGTTCTCTGCTCCGGGTCCCTCTCTGCATCCCTTGTTTTGACCTTGTGCCCTGCACCCCTGTCCCTGTTTTTTTCATTCTCGGTTCCGGGTATTTAGCTGATTTGCTGGGATCTGTGGCCCAAAAGGACTTGTCGTTGCCCTAGTGGGTTCTGCCCTGGAAATCAAATAGGCTGTGGAGAACTGAACCCAAACTGGCTGCCTGCCTTTCCCTGCAGACAGGAGGGTCCCTACAGATTGAAAGGTGCAGTACACAGAAAACAAAGGCATAATAGTCGCATAGGTAAAGACACCTCAGGGGTGATCTGTGCCCAGCTCCTCTCATGCAGACAGATTTCAGCGTAGCAGCCGTGTTAGTCTGTATTCGCAAAAAGAAAAGGAGTACTTGTGGCACCTTAGAGACTAACAGACAGAGGTATGCAGACACCACTTACTGAATGGAAACTGACAGCTGCTCAGGACCCAGATCTGGGCAAAACAGGGGCCTTTAACTGACATAGACCTCCCATCTGCACTAGGAACCTGAGAGCCAAGAAAACAAAGCTCTGAAAATTATCTGAATTGTACTGACAATGACTCCATGCCAGAATGGGAGGGAGGAGAGATGGGTTCAAGAATAGAAGACCTGGAAACGGGTCAAGAGTGGTCACAGTCCCCTATGTTTTATGAGATCCCTCCTGCTCTAGCTACCCTTGCTAGGAGGATTTTGGCCCCAGGCTCTCAGTGTTTATGTGCTGGAAGCACATGGCTTGTTCACTTGGGCCAGGAGGCTCCATGCCACCAAAACATACAGAATGCGAGAAGGAGCCAAGTTTCATCTGAAGCAGCAGCACAAAGCTAATAAAGCCTGTCCAAAGCCCAAGCTGGTGCCTGCATCCTCCCCAGAACATCCCTAGAAGGACTTTGCAGCAAGCACTCTTATCTCACAGCAACAACTACGGAAAGAGAGAGGAGACAAGGAGAGTCGTTTTCTGCTCACTGCCATGGTCTCCTGGAGGGTGCTTGTAGGGGATGGATTAGAGAGGACGCAGGCTGGAAAAGAGACTGAAAACTTAAGTGGGGGGGGGGGGGAATGCCCAGTGCTGCAAAACAGATTAGGGCAGTGCCACCTTTCCTAAAAGCTGCAGGACCTCCCTGAATTCTGAACACTGGGCTGGAATGCTCCAGACCTCCAAGCCACAGCATGTGCAAGAGAGAAACTGAGCGCAGTCCAGAAATATCAAACAGCTACAGGGGCTGCTACTTTACAACCTGTGAAGTGTGATAGCCACATTTAGAGAGTGGTGAAAGGAAGGACAGCAGGGTTTTGTGCATGATTTCCCAGGACAGGGAAAGATCAAAGAGGTTACTGTCACTGCATCACTGAGTCCCTGGGGGTGGGGAATGAGTGACAGACAAGGAGACAGCCAGGAGCCTGAAAACCCTGAAATAAACTGTCCACCTCTTCTCCAAGCAGTAAATTACCCCGAAAGGAGTGATCCTCGTAG